GGGGGGGGGGGGCAATTCCAAGATGGGCTGCCATGTCCCCCCACGAGATCATCCCCCGACATGGCGTTTCTCTCGGTGGCTTTTTTTTTGTTCCTTTCCCACTCTCGCGTTATTTCCCTATGAACCCCATCATCGTTCTTATTAACTCTTCATTCTCCTGGGCCCCAGTTGCAAGCGCCGCCCACCTCCCGGCCCCTCTCATGACCTCCCTCCGTTATATCCAGGTTCATTCACTCCAGTCCCAAAGAGGGATGCCGCGGGGCTTGTCTTGAGTCGACAAGTTCGTCCCGTCCAGCTGGGAGAGAGAAAGTCGACTTGTGCTGATTTGTACTGGTATGACTGTCTGTCTTTCCTTGAGCACGGGCTTCATACACATATCGTAGTCTCCTGCCCCTTGTTGTGGCGCGTGGGACGGACGACTGCCGTGTCAGTCAATAGGTGTCTGTCTCAGTCAGTCCCCTCACCGCAAGAGCATTCTTCACTTGGTAATTTCGTGGCAAAATTTCGTTTGAATATGTACTCAATTCGGGTCAGCTGTGGGTATTTGACCGATTGACATGGAGAGATAAGATGTTCCTCCGCCATGGTATTTCCTTTAATGTACAGTGAGTTTCGCCAGTCCATGAATGCGCGACGAACTCCCAAGTGCAATCAATATACAATAGATCCGTTCCCTCCGCCGTACGCTGTGAGGTGACGCTGCCCTTTGGGTACCAGCGCCCTCACCACGTAATATCTCGCAACCGAAAGCTAAACAACATTGTCAAGTCCAAGCCAGTAAAAAAAAGAAAAGAAAAAGACGAAGCAGCACAAAAGAGCATGCCGTGTGCAATCCCAGTAACCAACCAAGTAAACGCCGTCGGACAGATCTATAACGGCCAGCATCGATCGGCTCATGACCCGTGCCTGTCATCGTTGTCCAAAGTAGAAAGCCAAGAAAAAAAAATAGGAGAAAAAGAAAAGTACCCCCTGCCGAGCCTTTGCGGCTTGGGGGACTTGCAAGGAGATCTCAGTGCTTGGCTGATGCTCTCAGGGATGTCGTGTTGTCGTGATGCTGCAGTCGACGTCGACCAGCAATCCATTCTATATGTGTCCTTTGTCGTAAAAGCGTATCTCTTCGTCTGATACAAGAATGTGGAACCAAGTGAGGATATGTATACTAAAGTTGGTCGCCACTTTTTATAATCACCTTCATTTGATGACGGCAATCAGTCCGAGTGGTGATCTTCGGAGCCTGCTTCTGAGCGGGCATCACCACGATGAACCTTGCGGTGGCGGCGGAGGTTGGAAACGACGGAGAAGTGGCGGCCACACCCCTCGACGTCGCAGGCAAAAGCTATAGACTTGTTAGACACCAAAAGGACTAAAATGAACGGCTTATAGCTGGACGTACGCTTCTCTCCAGTGTGGCTGTACATGTGCGTCTGCAGCGAGCTCGGGCGGGTGAAGCGCTTGTCGCAGACCTTGCACTTGTGCTTCTTCTGCGTGCCTGACGCGACCTTTGAGCTGAACTGGCCCATCATCGACTGCGGCGCGGGAGGCAGTGGCGCGGCGGCGCCCAGGAGACCCTGCGGCCGGGGCAGCGTCCTCGATTCAATGTCTGATCCAGCAGTTGAGTAATCGGACACCGAGTCGCCATAGTAGGAGCTAATGTTACCGGTAGAGGAGATGGACGAGCTCGTCGAGTGAGTCGACGGGAACCCGTACGAGTCGATTGACGAGCGGTCGCTGCGGCCGCCGTAGATGTTTCGTGGCGTGTCTTGGCTCATGGCCAGCATGCCGTGGCTGGCGTCGAGGGCGTCGGCGAAGGCGCGGCGGTCCTCGGTAGGATGAGGAGGAGGGATGGCACTGCAATGCGAGTTAGCCGAGGGAGTTTGGGTCATGTCTCACGGACGGGGGACCATTCGCGACTCGGGTAGGTTAGGTCATCATCGGCCGTGATGAGTACGGGTTGTACTGACGCTTGTGAGAATCTGCGAGGATCGTCATGGCTCATGGGGAAGGGCGGCGGGCGGGCGGGAGCGGATGTGTAGCCCATAGCCTCGTACGGGCCCGAGGCCGGCGGCGCAAAGTGACCGTTGACGGGCGAGGCCGAGGTGGCATAGGCGGGCTCGAAACCGGCGGCCGAGGTCTGCTGCATGCGGTTCATGCTGAGCAGGTCCGGGCTGGGGTTCAGGAGGTCGTGCTGCATGCTGAGGCCGGCCGACGACGGGTTGTGGTGGTGGTGGTGGTGGTGGTGGTGGCTGCTGGCGGACGAGCCGAGCGGCATTGAGCCGTACGAGGCAATGGACGAGGCACTGCCGGTGCTGGCGCGGCCGGGAAGCGGCTTGCCGCCTGGCATCATGGTCGGTGGCATGCTGGGCTGTCCTCCGTGGACGTTGAAGAGCGCGCTGCCGGGGCCGGCAGCAGCGGCAGCAGCCGGAATGGACTGGGACGACGCAGACGTCGACGACGACCACGGGTTGGAGAAGGATGGCGGTTGGGCGTGCGCCTGGTAGTCGAAGCTGAGTCCGGGACCAAACCGCTGCTGTTGTGAAGGATCCAAGGCCATGGTCATTATGGGAATCTGAGTTGTAGGAATGGGCGACGTTGCTGTGAGGGACGAGTGAGGACCAAGTCAGTCAGTCCTAATGTCGTTGGCGCAAGTTGTAGTACACGAATGGGCGGTAGTGGGAGTAAAGGCGACGAGGTGCTAGAATCGATAGATTGTGTCGAGATGCAGACAACCATTCGACAGTGTAGCGAATTTGAAGACTACAAGGTCGAGATAGTCAAGTATAGAGGTGGTGACTGAGTATGAGTAGGAGTTGTTTGTGTATGTGGTGGCAGGATGAGGACCAAGATGTGCAGTCAAGGCAGTGAGGTAGGTGAGGGAGTGTTGCTGATCTGATGCAGGATCCCGACTAAGAAAAAGCCAAGTCGGTAGTCAGATTCGAGACGAGAAGGATGGAATGGATCCCGCCTTGGTTGATGGATGGAGCGGCGTGTCGTTGACGGGTTGGGGAAAGAAAAAGCCAAGTGTGGGATCAGCGAAGTCTTAAGTGTCTGTCGGGCAATGAGATGAGCGAGAGAGAATCGAACCCGTGTCAGTGACCTTGCGAGGAAGAAGCAGGCGTCTGGCGGGGATGTCGGTGGAGATGATGGCGCACCCTCGCTCGTTCTGCAGAGGAAAGGAAGGAGAAGCAAGTGCGAGTTTAAGTGTGAGGGTGAGTGTGGACGGAGGAGAACGGCGTGGGTGTGCTTGTTTGGAGAGTTTGGGTGTGTGACGAGTTGACTAGTTGAGTTGTTGTGTGGGTAAGAAGAGAAGAGTGAAGTGATCGGCAGGCCGATGTCCCATTTGCCAGGACCCCAGGAGGAAGAGGAGGGAAGTGTGTACAGTACTAGGTACAGGAGGGGTGGGTGCAGAGTGGCACTTTGTTGCGGAGGGTATGGATGAGAGATGATGGCACGGTGCAGGGAGACACAATGGGAGGAGTGTGGCACAGCAGAAGGACGAGTTTGAACAGGAGTTGTTGATGGGAGAAGATATAAGGGGAGTTGAAGATGTTGAGAGGAAGTAATCCAAGGGAGGGAGAGAGCAGCTGCCAGTAGTTGTTGGTATGTACCGGTACAAAACTCGAGAGGCGTCTCGTGAGTAAAACGGTGCAGAGGGATCAACAAGAATAAAAAAAGAATGAGTTGATGATGTGGAGGAAGTAAGAAGGAGGAGCAGTTCTACCAGTAGTTGGCTGGTTGAAAGTGGGAAAGAGCGAGCGGGGAGCAATAGGAAGGCGTAGAACAACGACTAGTTCTTTGCAGAGTGCTGCCAGTCAACTGGGTAATAGGCAATGGGCAATGGGCAATGGGCAATGGGCAATGGTGGTAAAAGTAAAACTGCTGTGCCGTGGTACTTGGGTACGTTGGAGGAGGCAGTGGCGTGCAAGCAAGTGGAGTGGGATCCGTCTCGCTGGGAGGAGGAGGAGGAGGAGGAGGAGGAGGAGAAGGAGGAGAACAAGGAGAAATAAGAGTGATTTGCGTGAGACGGACGTTGCCAAGCACCAGATTTACGGTAACGAGATTTGAATTATAAGTGGCCACGGGAAAGGGAGGGGCGCGCAAGATAACTTGTTAGCATACCACAGCCACACAACTGCCGAGGCTAATGGCTGATGGCTGATGATGGTATTGCAGCTGTCTGGAGGGAGCGAGGACAACAAGAGGCCGCAGGTTGAGTTGCACAGCAGAGAGAATGAAGTATCAAGGTGATTTGCAGATGAGCAGATGATGTCAAGTATTGTGCTGTACAGAGAGCGGAGAGCAGAGGAGGCGTTGAAAAAGAGAGACGGACGGTACGAGGCGGTTGAGGCTTATACCCGTTGAGAGCCAGCCCAGCCCATCGAGGAGCAGAAACGGTGGTGGCAGGGAGGTAGGTAGGTAGGTAGGTAGGTAGGTAGGTAGGTAGGTAGGTAGACAGGCAGGTAGACAGGCAGGTAGACAGGCAGGTAGACAGGCAGGTAGGCAGGGAGGCAGGCAGGGAGGGCAGGCTGGTCGGTGCCTTGCTTACCAGCCTGCCTGGCCTCACAAGTTGGTCCTCGGTACTTGTACAGGTCGAACCTTGCTACAAGGCAGGCAGGGAGTGTGGATGATGGCGTATGAATTATGTGGAGGCGGTTTATGTGGAGGGAGATGTGGGGATGCATGATGGAGCTGGATCCACTCACCAGAAAAACAAGCACCAGCCAGCCGATGGACGGGTGGATATTAGACCAGCCAGCAAGGCGCGCTAGCCAGGGGGAGTGTTGCTAAGAAATACAGATTAAATTAAAGATAATAGAATAAATAAGTAAGTAAATAAGTAAATAAATAAATGGTGGGGTAAAGCCACCGGGGATGGAAGTGGCGGGCCCTTCCTTTTCCTTACTGTGCTTAGTTGGTTACTGGTACCTGTACTGCAGACCGCATCCTACCGCAACCAAGTGGTGGCTGTGCGTTTCCTACCAGCGGATCTCTGGTTATGGCAACAGCACCGATATATTCAGCTTCAAGGCATTCATCCGTCCTGGTTAGCCAGATGAGGTGAAGCCCAGCACCACGAAAACAGCACAGGGACAGCACACTCTCTCTTTTTACTCATTATGGATCCAGATTCCAGGTTACGAGAGGTACGAGATACGGCGACAACAACCGCCGCAGTTTACTGGGTCCCGGTCGCCCCAGTCTTCTGTTTAGCGCACTGGCAAGGTCACCGTCACGCACTGTGCTGTTCTTCAGAGGGCGAGGAACTGCCAAAGGCGCTGATACAGAGCCAACTTGTAGCGCCTGTGCCCTCTGGCCCTCTGTCTCGGAGCTACTGGTGATTTTCCAAATGTCTGCTCCAGAGAAACCAGACGACGCGCAATCCAATTGCTTCCGGTGGCGATGATTCTCTTCCTCTCCAGCGCTCAGTTCAGCTTCCACCTGCACCCGAGCCCACCTCGGCAGAGATCTATACCGACCAGTTTGCTGCTCCTCAGAGGGGGGGCATATAATTATAGTTGGTTGGGTAAGCAGCTCAAGTCACTAGCTAAACGCACTCTTTTTGCCGACGGCTCTCTCATCCAATATGGCAATTGAATCAAAACAAAGTGCTCTATTAGAAGCACATAAACGAAGCTGCTTGCTTTGCAATCAGTCCATCACACTTGTGTTTTCATCTACATTGACTAGCAACTTGCTCGTTTCGTTGCATGTTGAACCGCCCCCCATGCACTATATACGCTCAGCGGAAGTTTGCGTCCATCCATCCCACTGTGGGTATAAGCTTGTATACAGGTAATATGTGCATGCACAACTCTCGTCAAGAGAATAACTATATATAAATATAGAAAATAATCTACATAATAGTACTCCATAGCGGAATGAATGAAGATGGTGGAACCTCAATCCAAAAGCCAAGAGATTAAGTTAGCTGGCCGACAGTCACAACATGCAGGGTTCAGTCTGTCTCGGCGGGATGGGCCAACTCAACTCGACAGGCCATGCCATGCCATGCCACATGCCACGATGCATCCCGCATCAATGCCGTGCTGGCTGGCGATTACTTTGATGGAGAGATTTGTTTCGAGTAGATGTTATAATTAGCACAGCATGAACACCATGTGTAAGAGACAAGCTTTGCTTGCGTGGACTTGCCCTGCCCTCCCTTTGCGCGGCATCAGCTCACATGTTTCAGTTTCACAGTTATATTTACCAACAACTTTTGTTAAGAACAATACAAGCAGCGGACTATCAGCCAAAACGGGAACCATCAGTCACAACTAACTGGCAGCTGCCATTAGCAACGCGGCCAACGTCCGACTCCGACTCAAGTGCGACCTAAAATTAGCGACTCCTCGAACGACGGTACTTGCCTTGCTGACAAGCCTCTACTAATCGAAGTAGTCGAGTTAACTCAACATGTCATTTTTTTTTGGTTTTCATCATTTCGTTAAAAACATGGGCCAGTTTCCTACTGGCACATGTTGCAGCCTTGTAAGGAAGAGGGAAAAAAGGGCCGGGGTCAGCAGAGGAACAAGGTCACCCATACCCATCCCCAAGCCGGCTTGTGTCCAGCCAGCGGCCCTCAAAAGCCTTGTCAGTGGCTTTCTCATGGCGCATGGTGATGAGCCGGGCGGAGAGTAGCGCCGGAAGGCGTCAGGGCATCAAGGGGCCCTTGACGTAAGGAGCCAACCGGGGGGGAACCCAGCAGACAGCCAGCCAGCCAGCCAGCCAGCGGCCAGCAGCCACTTGGCTGGTTTTGCCTCGCCGAAGTGAAACTGGACATCAGCGATAGTTATTTGCAAAGTATTGAGAGCCGGGCTATAGTTGGCAGAGTCACCTGTATAATGATTGTGCCACTAGACTGGTTGGTAAAAAGCCCGTTCCGTTCCACGAGTAAAAATGTGAGCACAAATGACGGACTCTTCGGCCCGGCATACAACCCGCGTACAAATGTACAATGCATAGTTACCTCCCGTGACCGCCGTGCCGGGACGGCCCCCCCAGGGTCGTGGTGTGCAAGCAACGCCCAACGCCTTTGCCGAGTTTACGGGCCGGGCTGCTCTACGCAGCCAACCAACCACACAGACAGGCTAAGAAATCAGAGACACACCTTACGGATACTTCTACTCCGTATCCAAGTCAAGTGAGAATTGACAGGCTGACCACGCAGTCCTGTCCTCGGACCGTCTCTCCCGCTAACTATTTAACCCCAACTCGAGATAATAACTTTCCAAAAGAGAGGAGGGCAAGGGGAGCGATGGTGAGAGCCATCTCAGTTTCCTGACTAATTTTGCGCACCGTCTGACACGGTGTTCTAAAACTTACCATTTTGCTTGTGAGCCAACGTAACAGGGTGGCGGAGCTGGCTCTCCATAATAACGAGTCGCAAGATTAATAAAAAGACAAATTGGTGGTCGACATACTGGCAACCCCACGATCTGATGCATGAATAACCCGTCGCAACCACGGGCCTGGGGCGTGCCCAGGGTTTGAGTGTTTGAGTGACCAAGAGGGGAACCATGGAGAAGGAGACAAATGGATGCAGGAAGCGGAGAGAGA